CATGTTTTTAAACATATAGAACTAGTATCAAACTTTGAGAGTAGTATTGAGCACCGATATGGAGGAGCGTTCAGAGAACCCACATCCCCCATAAACTATGTAGCCATCATGGGTAGAAAAGGGTCATACTTTTTAGATGAATCCTTTTCGCATAGACTAGTGGATCCACTTAGTAGTTCAGATCTTATACATGTGGCAAGGTATAGGATGCGATGGCAGCGTGAGGAAGATCGTTGTATTATCACTATAGCTCTTAAGTGATGGTTGTCGGTTAGAGAAACTCCCACAAAAGTTATTTGTGTTCTTATATACACAGTTATTTGTATTTTTACATTACATTTCAGAGTTTTAGTGTATATTTGCATACGCCCAGAGTTGACATCATGTTTTAAACAACTTTTCTTTATATTGCACTTGTTTTAAATTGCTTTATATTGAAATGAGTTCAGTTATGTTAAGTTGAGTTGAGCCAGGTAAGTTCTTCAGTTTCCTTTCAGTTTCTTTTCAAGCTTAAGTTGTGTTTAGCATTCCAACTCGCATACTCGTACATTCAATGTACTGATGCCACTTGGCCTGCATCTTATTATGATGCAGACGCAGGTAACTAGGATTGGCATCCGGCGCATCGTTGATCCAATGAGGAGTTCAGAGTCTGTTGGTGAGCCTCTTTGCATTCCAGAGGGCTCCTTTTCATTGCTTTCAATTTTAGTATTAGTTGATTAGGATGTCGTGGGCCTGTCCCGACATCCATCTCAGTTGTTTAGAGGCTTCATAGACAGACTGACAGTCTGTTAGTTAATTCAGTTGTCTTTACTTTTCATTTCATATGTTAAGGACTTGAGTTTGCCTTAATGGCTAGTTGAATGTTCCTTTATAACATTCTAGTTACTTCACAAATGTGTATGTGATGAGTTAAGTCTTTCGCTGAGTTAGTAAGCTAGGCCAAGGGTTCACTTGAGGCCAGCAATGGTCTTCGAGTGCCAGCCACGTGCAGGGTGTAGGCTCGGGGAGTGACATACTCTATCTCTAGCCTAGACCCAAAACTCACCTGATTCTATAATCAATTTCCTAAAGTTCAAACCTAGGGTAAGTCTTAATTCCTCCAATTAGCACAATTTTAATTGTAATCTTATAGTGTAATACACCTAATATGTAATTACCTATCTCAATATATCAAACCTTGATTTATTATATCATAAAAAAATTATAATATTAAGAATTAGGCCACTGGTTACGAAACCAGTGGCAGGCTAGCAACACCATGAACACAATTTAATTTTGACATATAGAATCAAATTGATTAACAATTGCAAACAACATTGTAGTTGTTGGTCATACATGATTGTCTCAACTTTGTAATCACCATTCAACTTTAATTCTTCAACCAATCAGTTCCTTCCTAACACTAACTCTAATCACTATATATACCAACTAAAAATTACTCCAACAGCTAATTCTCTTCTTTCTTTTTCACCAAACGATTCAAACATAATAACAATAATAATAATAATAACTGCATAATCTTGATGTTTGCGTAATCAAGACACAACGATGCAAGTGTCTACAATCATACAATAGTTTAGTAACCCAACCAAGGTTGAGATCGTCCCGAGAGAGTGGTTTTGAGAACTTATAGAAAAATAAAATTAAGTTCTAACTAGTAGTAGCTAAAGACATTAACGGGTAAAAACATTGTAAATTAAAAAGGGGGACACAAGAGTGTCAATTAACAATGGGGGGCGGGGGGTTGTCACAAGTAAGGTAAAAGCAACAAAATAAACAAGAGTTTTCTAAGTAATGAGAGAGGATCCTTAAGATGTGACAGGAATACGGGTTAAGCTAGATTATTGGGTACATGCTTGCGATAGAAAATTTATAGAGTAATAGTGACTAGGCTAAGCTCTATGTGGGAATAAGTTCTCTCTCGAGCAACTTACCCCGTTTCAAATGGGTTCCTCTCGGACACCTACTTACCGCATGAAGACCAGCCTACGCCTTACCCCACTCACTCTCTTGAGCTGAGTGTTAGGATATGGGACTAGGGTTCTCTCTGTCGAGCTGAACCTCATGTTGACCCACTCCTTAGGCCAACAATCTAGTAGTCTTGGTTTCGCGACTTCTCTCTCGAGCAAGCCGAAAACACATAAATAAACTTGCATTTGCAACTACAAATTTGTTAAATTCATCCACAACTACTAGACGAAATCACAATTAAACTACATCTATTCTATCTGCAAACAAGACCCAACAACAATCTTAACCCATATTCGCTAAATCACACCCCAAGAATAGGGGTTTTTAGCCACACATCAAGGGATAGAAATTTATAGCTAAATGAGCTTGCATTCAAATGGGTATGAAGATTTAAGTCTTGTTACAGGCCAAGAATGAAGAATCCAAGAGACCCAAGTCCAAATCCTTGGAGATGAAACACTCTTTTTCTTCAATTCTTAAAAACCCTCTGAAACTCAGAGCAAAAATACTAAAAAGTACTATTCTATATGAAAATTATAATAATTGTTTGACATTTAAAATTATATTTCTAACTAGTATTTATAGTTTTCATAGATTTGTGTTGCAGTGGATCATTTGGCGTCGTTAGTCGGAATTGCCGATCAACTCGGCGATTCACCCTTTGGTGTAGTTCATCACCGTCTTGCACCCGTCCTCAACATCGTCGTGCTCTAGGTCATTGGGCAACATGGTATTGCTTCGCGGAACTTCTCGCTGATGTGCCGACTGCTCTCTTTTTCCGCCGACTTGATCCTTTCCTTCAGGGCTCAGCACACTGGAACAAAAGGCGAATATGTGATCTGTTGGCGATTCCCCGAATGGGTTTGGCGATTCGCAGATCTTCATTTCTTTGTTCTTTTAGTTTCTTTTGCTCCTTTTTGCTCAATCGTGTCCATGCTTTACCTCAAACTTTGAATACTTGAAACTTCAAAGTTTTCTTCAGATATCGAGACAAAACATGTATTTGAGGACACAATTTCTGTTAAAATATAGCCCTAAATGAGTCCAATTTGTGGACTCATCAACACCCCAAATTAAACTTTTGCTTGTCCTCAAGCAAATTCAAGTTCAGCCGTTCAAAAAGGGTGTGTCTAACAGTGCTACACAAGACTCAATCATGAATGCACACAAAAAGACTCAATTTACTTATGCAAAGATCAAATGTGCACTCAAAGATTCAAGTTGTGACTCACCAATATCAACGAATCTCATGCTCACAATACTTGCTTCAAATGCAAGTTCAAGCTCAACTGTAGTGTTCAAATTCCCTCACACAAAGAATGATTTCATATTCACACCATGGTTTTACAGTTTAAAGATTTGGAATCAGATGCAACGCTCACACTCACAAAGAAGAACATAATGCATGCTTTCACCCATTGGTTTGCCCGTAATTTCCAATCAACATTTGTTTAAGCTCACTCAAGATTAAAAAGGTCTTTTCAGGGATTGTAATGGGGTTGAGTGCAAAGGTATGGTCATTTAGGCTCAATGACTTTTATCCATATGACATGTGGTTCATACAACACTTCCTTTCCTTTTCCTTCATCATTTTCATTAGTGCTCATAAGTCATCCTATTATTCACTTCCCGTGAATTCTTTGGAGACCCCATTTCTTTTGTACTTTATTCCACAACTTTCTTTTTCATTCTTATTCTTTTTCTTTCTCTTCTCTCTTTTTTTAGATGGAGGGGTTCCATTTTCTTCAAAACCATGGGTAGGAAAGACTTTCTTGCACTTCTTGACTTTCCCTTTTCTTTTCACCACACCCCCAACTTAGGCTTTTGGCCTAAGTTGTCTATTCAAACTAACCATAACTTCATGAGGATTATGGGTGATGGATTAGAAAGGTCTAGTTTTCATCAAGTTTTCATCCAAGGCAAGGTAAGGCTCAAGGGGTGTTCACGAGAGAATCACACACTCACAAGGTAGGTCACAAAAGAGGTGTATGTCAAATTGGACTCACACTTGTAGAAGTTCCCTAAGATCATATCAAGAGATAGCATCACTTAGTTGACCGGACCAACGGGGCAAATTCTAGGATCTATCATGCATAGTTCACAGGTAAGCTCACCACACTAGGCATGACACTACAGGTTAAACAAGACTCCACACTTTCGCTAGTGTGCAATGATCATCACAAGAGAATCAATTTGATACAAGGCTAGTCATAACGAGATGCAAAGAGTTCACATATTGTCTATGCAACTTCATTTGGCCTCATCGTAGCCGCGCATTCATGTTCGTTTGATTGAGAGCACTATTCAAGTCATCGGTATTGATTGGAACCGAGACTCAATTTTTTGCAAAATAACAGCCACATTTAACACATGAGAGGTGGCAAAATGTTCAAAAAATTCAAATTTTTTCGTAAGGGCCAAAATCGTTTTGCAATGTAAAATAAAAGGAGCCATAAGCTCAAACATCCACAGAAAGCAATATTTAACACAATAATAGCTCAAAGTCCAAATACATAAGCAAAAACACGAGTCACAAATAGCACACAAAAGGTGGGCCTCACCCCACCACAAATAAAAGCAATTTGTCCTCAAATGCAATTAACATAGAATCCGAAATGTAAAATAAAGAAAGACAGAGAGGGAGGTAAATAGGTGATCCTGGCTAATCGGTCGCTCCATCTGTCTGGGCATCAGTGCCTGGTGTGTCCTCCTTCTGACTCTGGTTCTCTACTTCAGTTGTCGTAGCGAGGTTACACATAATCATCTCATCAAAATCATGAGATGGTCCAAAGGTATGTATCACATTGATGAATCCTCGGGCCCACGAAGGGACGGTAGGGTCAGTGGGAATCCTCCTACTGGAACTGGCTTCCTTGCTCTTGGTCTTTGCTTTGGTTTTGTTAGGCTTTTCTGCTTCTCTCCTGAACTTTTGTGATCTTATGTGTCGGGGTGGTATGTCTATTCCTGCAACTTTGGACCTGACCATGTCTGCAAAAAATCTTGTGATAACGTTAGAACATGACACTCTAAGCAGAGATATTCAGTTGTAGGAAGGTGGTCATTCCATTCGGCATGTCGCTGAATAGCTTTGACGAGCCACGTTTAGTCCACCGAAGGTCACAGTGTTGAAGGGTTAGGGGTGCAGACAAAGGGCGATTAAGATGACATTCGGCGAGTCGCCGAGTGCACTTGGCGATCCCGTGCTTCTCGCCAAAATTTTCAGCTGCCATATCAAATAACGCGTGATAATAAGGGCGAGATGGGACGCTTAGGCAAACCGCTGAGTGGTTCGGCGAGCTCGTCACAACTTCACTGAATGACCCAACGTGCCTACTTTTGACCCAACTTCTCGAAATCGGCCCCCAAACCCCGAAAACATAGTTAAAGCATAAATAGCACAAATTTGACCAATACCCACCCATATTCTATGAATACGACCCATCATACATATACTCAACTAGACACGTCGGAGAACAAGATTTCGACAGTGTAAGAAAGATTATCGAATAACAATCGACAATTAACCAATTCTATTCAATCAGGGAGGTTCAATAGATTTTAACAATATCAAAGAGTTTGCAAATGAGTACTATACTGACAAAATAATTACGAGTATTGAGAAGCTAACCTTTTGTACTGATTAAAATGCTACCAAAATCTAGGCGGCAATGCAATCCAAATCCGCACACAAATCAATGAACCAAAATACTCCAAAGGTGCAAGAAATATAAAACTAGAGTGCAGGTGTGTGTTTGGGAAGGTGAAAAAGTGATGGAAAGAGAATGAAGCTAGAACTTTTTAAACCTTTGGCTGAAAAACCGTCCAGTTTTTGTCCATTGGGCGACATTAGTCCCGATCACCGAACCTGTTGGCAATTCGCTGAGTTGTCACTTGTCTCGTTGAGTTTTACAGGACCTTCAGTCAGGAGGAAGATCCAAATGGTGGTCTGCATCAGAATCATTGATTACTCGGCGACGCGCTAATGATTTTCGTTGAGTCTGCTGAGTTTTACAGATCCAAACCCAAATTGGGTTGGATCAAACGGCAGAGTATGTCGGGGTTGCCGAACCTTTCGGCCATTCACCTACCAGGTCTTCCGTTTGCCAAACTGTACTTCTCATTCAAATTCCACACTTTCACCTGCGCAATCAACATACCATTATTTTATCAAAGACAAAATCAAAATAAGAACATGGGTTTTGGGTTGCCTCCCAAACAGCGCCTTAGTTAACGTCGTGGCACGACTCAAGTCCACCTTGAAATCTCACTCTTGGGGTTAGCCATAGTGTCATTAGGCAAACCCTCTTGCTGTCTCTGATTGAGGTGAGACGAGATATGACCCATTTGGGTCTCTAACTGCTTGATTGAAACAAAATGGGAGGTGACGGTCTGGCTAAGGGTAGAAACATCTTCTTTTATGCCTTTCAGCATTTTGTCTGACCCTTCAACTTTGTTGAGGATACGCGAAAGTATATCCTCAGACCTACTACCCTCCGAATCCTTTGGCTTTTGGCGCTCATGGGGAGGCACATATCTGTCCTTCTCCCCATCCTTCCAATTAGGATTTCTGTCTCTCCATTCATGATCCTTCCATCCTTTATCTCTAGCCCAACCTTGGTTACCACCCTGCCTTGGGTAGTTTGAACAATAACCACCACTTTGGTTCGCTAGGAAGTTCGCCTCCTCATTATATAAGGCTTCAAAATTCGCCTCGTTAGGATATGCGCACCAGACCCCCACAACATTGGCTCCACGTGCACTAGCCCCCATGACATTTTTGGATAAAATATCAAGATGTGTCATGATTTTGGTCATGTTTTGGTCTCTCTCATTATCTTTGTCCATCTGCTCCTTGGATAGCTTGAATGTGAGAGGGGAGACTTGGTCTTCACGGGTGTACCATGCCCAATTGATGGCCGTCATGCCATCTAAAAGTTGGATTGCTACTGCATACGGTTGCTGCATCAGTCCTCCAGGTGAAAGTTGATCAGCGACAACTTTATTCACCGAATCCAGGCTTCGGTAAAAGTACTGTAGCAAGATATTATCGGGCAGACCATGAGTCGGGAATTTAGGCACCAATTTTTTAAACCATAGCCAAGTTTCGTGCAGAGGCTCTCCTTCTAGACGTTTAAAGCTCTGGATGCTATCCCTCAGTGACAACATCTTCGAGGGAGGGAAAAATCGCACTTGAAATGCGGTTACCAGTTCCTCCCAAGAAGTAATGGATTCACGTGGTAGCTCGGTTAGCCACTTGCACGCTTCTCCCATCAATGAGAAATGGAATAGCCTCAACCGGACCGACTCCTGAGAGATGTTTTTGAATGAGAATGGTCTGCATACATCTACAAAGTTTCGAAGATGCTCATGAGAATCCTCATGAACCAGTCGGTTGAAAAGTCCATTTAGTTGCAAGAGTTGTAACATGGTGCTCGTTATGTGGAATACTGCATTTCCCTTGACTGGGGGAAAGCGGATGGCTCTAACACCTCCCATGAGATGGGGGCCATTGATGTTGGGCTCTTGGACATCGTTGAGATTTCCAAATGCCGTCTTGGTGGCCTACCTGGCTACCGTTGCTACCATTAACACTAATGCTTTCTGAAATATTCATACAACAAACAAAACAAAACTAAAAATTAGGTAAGTAGACTACAACTAAGAAGAACAAAAATTCTGTTAGTCTAAATTTTTTCAAATAACACCACTCCCCATCCGCAGCGCCATTTTGATGTTTGCATAATCAAGACACAACTTCTGATGCAAGTGTCTACGATCGTACAATAGTTTAGTAACCCAACCAAGGGTTTGGATCGTCCCAAGAGAGTGCTTTTGAGAATTTATAGAAAAATTAAATTTAGTTCTAACTAGTCGTAGCTAAAGACCTTAATGGGTAAAAACATTGTAAATTAAAAAGGGGGATACAAGAGTGTTAATTAACAATGGGGGGGGGGTTGTCACAAGTAAGGAATAAACAACAAAATAAACAAGGGTTTCTAAGTAATGAGAGAGGATCCTTGGGATGTGACGGGAATACGGGTTAAGCTAGATTATTGGGTATATGCTTGCGATAGAAAATTTATAAAGTAATAGTGACTAGGCTAAGCTTTATGTTGGAATAAGTTCTCTCGCGAGCAACTTACCCCGTTTCAAATGTGTTCCTCTTGGACACCCACTTGCCGCATAAAGACCAGCCTATGCCTTATCCCACTCACTCTCTCGAGCTGAGTATTAGGATATGGGACTAAGGTTCAATCTCTCTAGCGGAACCTCATGTCGACCCACTCCTTAGGCCATCAATCTAGTAGTCTTGGTTTCACGACTTCTCTCTCTCGCAAGCCGAAAAACACATAAATAAACTTGTATTTGCAACTAAAAATTTGTTAAATTCATCCACAACTACTAGACAAAATCACCATTAAAATACATCTAATCTATCAGCAAACAAGACCCAACAACAATACTTAACCCATATTCGCTAAATCACACCCCAAGAATAGGGGTTTTTTGCCACACATCAAGAGATTGACATTTATACCTAAATGAGCTTGCATTCAAATGGGTATGAAGATTTAAGTCTTGTTACAGGCCAAGAATGAAGAATCCAAGAGACCCAAGTTCAAATCCTTGAAGATGAAACCCTTTTTTTCTTCTAGTCTTCAAAACCCTCTCAAACTCAAAGCAAAAATGCCAAAAAGTACTATTCTATATGAAAGTTATAATAATTGTTCGACACTTAAAACTACAACTATAACTAGTATTTATAGTTTTCACAGATTTGTGCTGCAGCGGATCATTTGGTGTCGTTAGTTGGAATCACCGATTAACTCTGTGATTCGCCCTTTAATGTAGTTCATCGCCGTCTTGCACCTGTCCTCAACATTGTCGTGCTCTGGGTCATTGGGCGACATGGTACTGCTTCGTGGAACTTCTCGGTGATATGCCGACTTCTCCCTTTTTATCCGACTTGATCCTTTCCTTCAGGGCTTAGCACACTAGCACAAAAGGCGAATATGTGATCTGTTGGCAATTAACCGAATGGGTTCAGCAAATCGCAAATCTTCATTTCTTCGTTCTTTTAGCTTCTTTTGCTCCTTTTTGCTCAATAGTGTCCATGCTTTCCCTCAAACTTTGAATATGTGAAACTTCAAGGTTTTCATCAGATATCGAGATAAAACATGCATTTGAGGACACAATATCTATTAAAATATAGCCCTAAATGAGTCCAATTTGTGGACTCATCAAATCTCTATCCATATCTACAATACGAAGAGTTAGATAAGATTACCTGATGTAGTTGTAACGGTTATCGCCAAAGTCTTCTTTGAGAGGATACTGCTTTTCTTTTAATTAAAACAATTAGGGCAATTAATTATATATGAACCACTAGATAATTTAATAACTACTAAATCTTACTAATTTCTTTCTACACATGGCCATGTGGTAAGAGAAATACTAAATTATGGACTTAGCCCATTAACCACCAACTAATAAGAATTAATCATTTAAGAGATATCTGCCAACTAAATAATTGTAGTTAAATAACTTGTTCAAAATTACCATTTAAATTTACGGGAAGAGTCGAAATAGTTCTAATAATTAAAACGACCTAATGGGTCGTTACCCAAGGATCGTTGTATTAGAATTTTTTGAGTAATTCGAAGATCCTTGCTACTATCATGACCCGGTCTTACACTCTGGTAGTAACTCGAACTTAAGAACATTTTTTTATCCCCAAGCGAACCCTTGGCTTGGCTACATGACTTACATGCCACTAAACAATACGCGGAAGATTAAAACAGGTGAACACTTAGAAATATAAGAAAGTCTTAAAAATACTATCTTACAAAATACTTGACATGAGTCATAAGTTAAATATAACATTCTAAGAAAACAATAAAAACATCTAATTCTGTCTATCTATGAAGCCTCTAACAATTCAAGATAGATGTCGTGACAAGACCCACGACACCTCAACTACTACTAAAACTGAAATGATACTGAAGACTCCCAAAAGTAAGGAGGCCTCACCAACTACTGTTTGCAAGTGAATAGTGATCTCAACGAAGCGCCTGTTGATGACCTCGAACACCTGTATCTACATCATAAAATGATGCAGGTCAAATAACGTGAGTGCATTGAATGTACTCGTAAGTGATAAGGTTTGAGTAAACAACCTACTGGCTTGAATGACTGAAACAACATAACAGGATCAATATATGAATATGAAGTGAAAATCATTTAAGCTTTACAATAAAATATACAATGAAAGGAACATGAAAATAATATACTTTACTCTGCTTCTCATATCTGCTACCATCTCCGGAGCATAGCGGGATAACTGAGTGAACTTGAAACTGTACTCTTGCACACTCATAGATTCTTGTTTCAGATTAAAAAATTCTCTTAGATTCGCTTCCCTTAGTTGTCGAGGAAAGAAGCGCCCTAAGAGGATATCTTCAAACAAAGGCCAAGTCAAGTGTGGTTCCCCATCGACCTTGTTCTTCTTCCGCTGATCAAAACATATCCTATAAATTCCTTTTAGCTGTTAAGTAACTAACTCCATATGCTCAGCATCAACAACATGCAAGACCTCAAACACCTTCTGCAGTTCATTCTTAGAAATTATCGGACTCTGGATGCATCATTCCCCATTTGATATTCGGCTCCTTGGCGACCAACCTGTGTTGTCACCACTTGAGTCATCATCTGAATTACGTTTCTTAATTCCACATTTGTTACATCTTCCTGAGGTGGTGTCACGACCTAGACCATCGTGATTGGCACCCACACTAACCCTCTGGTGGGAGAACCACTACTACAACTCAAACCAAGCAACTAAACCAAACTAAAGCATTTAAGTTACGCAAGTAAGTTAAATACTAAGGAAAGAAAATAGGGAGTTCCCATAAATTCCAACGTAAGTCTAAAAATGAACTAAACAATGCGGAAGAAATAACCTAGAACCTGAAAGTCAATGTACCAAAACATCTAAAGTTCAACAAATCTAAACAAGAAGGGATACAACCCCAAACTAATTTACTAATAACTAATAGAAATGTCTAAGTGTGGAAGTGTGGACATAGACGAAAGGAGTACTCATGGCAGCCCGGAAGAAATGGCTCACCCTTGAATTCGAACGACGATCACTGATCTTCTAAGTGAGGTCTGTCAGTAGCCGCTTGAAGATGCCCTGTACTAAACATAAATAAGAGCAAGTACAGTATCAGTACACAACCATAGTGTACAGGTAAGATCACGCGGCTATCCCAATAAGTGTAACATACATAAGTCAATACAACAATATAATCACATGCATATATCAAACATATACAATATTATCAATATTTACGAACAACGAACAACTTTGTATTTCTCAAGGTACATAATTATGACAAGTCATTGGTCCTCTCATGGAACCCAAACCCAAACAGTTAGCATGCCGGAACGTGGTACCCTATTCAATGATTATGCCGAAATGTGGCAACCTATTCCATAATTATGCCGGAACGTGGCAACCGATGCAAGTTAGTTATGCCGAAAAAAGGCAACAGATCCATTCAACACACCACAATCACAATAACAAGTATATCCTCAAGATCATAAAAATTAAATCATGATTTCATGGTAACCAACATTCATCTATCTCATTTACAACAAACGTGATCAATAATGCAACATTCATATACATACGTGTATCATAATGAAGCAAGAACAAACATACATCACACAATCATAGAATCACAACCATCGCCTACCTCGAAACAAGCTTGAAACCCTAAGAAACTTGATCCTTCCCTTTCCATATTCGTTCCACTTGTTCTTGGTCAACAAACAATCATAATAACACGGGAATCAATAAACAATCACTAATTACTCGAATCACTAACAATTCTAACAACCCTAGATGATACCCATCATCCCAAGTATCCAACTAGGGCTTTTTCACCATAGAATCTTGATCAAAACCCTCCCACATCGATAATTATTCATTCTATTATGTTTTACGAATCGAAAAACGGATTCGGGGAGTGAAAAACTTACCTTTAGCCTCAAGAATGGTGGAAAATTGTCAAGAGTCACCTGGGGTTCTTTCTTTAACTCTAAAAATCGAAAAGTACAGAATGAGGTCGTTTAGGGGTTTATTTACGACCTTAAGTCGCGTCGAACTTGCCAAAACGACCCTCATCCTGCTTCAGCGACCCCGCCAGAGCGGCCAAACCCCCCCGGCATGGCGGCTTACACGAACTAGTGAGCTATTTAAAGAATTCCAAAATCCGCATTTCATAACACACCTTTAGCCCACGATGCTCAGAAAATACCCTTCACGCTAAGATCGATTACGAGAGTCCTACTCGCCCAAATTCAATTCCGTAAAGTTGTAAGGATTCCTTAATGAGTTATCTAACTACTCATGTAATCAGAATCATAATTAACTCCCCCAAATGTTACCAGATTTTCCTACACCTTAAAGACTCTGATTTTGTCCAAATCTA